GCCGGCGGGGAGGTGGGGGGGACCTGGGGCTGAGCAGCCCGCCCCGTCCTTGCCTGCTCTGAGCGCTGAGCCTGCTGGCCTCGGGACCCTGCTCTCTGAAGGGGCTTGGAGGATAGGGGAACCCAGGCTGAGCAAGGCGGGGAGTGGGGAGTGGCAGGTCCACTGGGCCCTGAAGAGGTGAGGAGGTGACCGGGATCCCAGGGTGGGGCCTTAGTCACAGGTGGGGCCTGCTCTGGGTGTCGTACTGGTGAACACTGAAGCCCGACTCCTGCCCTGGAGGTCAGGTGGGCTCTGGCAGCTGCTTAAAGGGAGAGTGTCAGAGCCTGCTGCCTACGGCCCTGCTCGCTCACCGCTCAGGTGCAGGTTGTGGAACTGAAAGTCACATGGATTACCAAGAGCTTCTGTCCAGGGGGCACGGACAGCGTCAGCCCCCCACCCTCTGTCATCACCCAGGAGAACCTGGGCAGGTGAGCGGCTCCAGCGTGCCTCCCCCTCACAAACCCTGGGGCGGGCCCTGAGCGAGTCTCCGGGCCACAGTGCAGGTGGGGGCCGAGAGCTGTTGGCCCAGCCCCGCCTCTCCCCCCAGGGTGAAGCGTCTTGGGTGCTTTGACCATGCGCAGCGGCAGCTGGGGGAGCGCTGCCTGTTTGTCTTCCCGGCCAAGGTCGAGCTGGCCAAGATCACCTGTGAATGCCCAGAGCAGCGCTGCGCCCAGGGGGAGGGCTCGATGGCCAAGAAGGTATGTCCGCAGGCCGGGCTGGTGGGCATTGAGGAACTGGCCTTGAGCTGTTTCCACAGCCCGGCAGGACGGCCTGTGCTTCAGGTCCTGGGGGGCAGTCCTGGTGACCTTTGCAGGCCACGTAGGAGTACGTCGCTGTCATTCCCCTGACCATGCTGCCTGGGGTCAGCCTGCCGGGGCGTCCCACTCTGCGGGGCAGGGCACGCCAGGCTGGCTACAGCTCCTCCTGCTCTGCCTCGCAGGTGAAGCGCCTGTTGAAGAAGCAGGTCGTGAGGATCATGTCCTGCTCCCCCGACGCCCAGTGCTCCAGGGACCATTCTGCGGAGGAGCCAGGCAAGAGGGGGGGGACCAAAGCCAAGAGTGAAACGGGGTCCGCCAGCCCCGAGGAGACGCCTGACGGGTCCGCCAGCCCCGGGGTGCAGGACGA